TTTTGTACTAGGACCCATACGGAAACATCGGTGGCCAGTCCTAACTCAGTGCCCCTCGCTCCCGACGCGCTGCCCGCCAGCCCCCCAGTGCGCGGGGCAGGGGCACCCCAAGCAGCCCCCGCAGGCTGGAGCTCTGCCAGCTGCAGGGGGAAAGGTTTCCCATACTTTCCTCTCTTAAGGGAGAATCTATTTGTAAAGTCTGTCCGTGACCCTTCCCTATATGCTTGTGCCCCGCGAAACGCCGCTCTAGGGGAAGGGCCCCGAGCTGCAGGGGGGTGCCGAGGCTGGGCGGCTCCTGCCCCTTCGGCCTCCGCTGCTCGGGGGAGGGAGAGGCCGGGCGAGAGCCTGAGGCTCGCTCCCAGTCGCCGCCGCCCAGCAGCTGAGGCGGGGCCAGAGCGATTAAAGTGGGCACGCGGGAGGGGAGGTCACGGAGGCTTCGCGGGAGCCATGGCTGCTTTTCTGCAGCTGAGGGGCGACGCGAAGATGCCCGTCGTGGGGCTGGGCACCTGGCAGGTAACGCCAGCCCGGGCCGCTCCTGGGCTCCCGGGTGGGCTCCGGCACTGGGGGCGCGGGAGGACGAGGACGAGCCCGAGCCCGGGTGCGAGCCTGGCCGCGACGGGGCCGCCCCGGGAGCAGCTCTGCTTCCGCTTTCCTGGGCCGGTCCATAGGTCGGCTCGGCCAGCCCCCTGCCCGAGGGATCAGCTCCAGTCCCTAATGCCCCCTGAATCGCTAGGTGCAGGATCTGCTTGCAAAGACGTCGGAGAGAAAGAGGGCCGAAAGGGACGTCCTCTTGTCCAGCCCCCGCTCTGAGGCATCAGGTTCAGTCCCTAATACAGTGGTCTCAAAAATAGGAGATCACCTTTGGCATTTAAAAGCAGCCCAAGATCTACCGTGCGCTGCCGCCACCCCCCTTTCCCCCTCCCCAGCAGGTAAGTCTGTGGGGAGGGGGAAAGGGGGCAGATCCAGGCAAAGGGAGAAAAAATTATTTGGGGACGCACCTCCCCAGCAGGTAAGTCCCACCCAGCTGGAGCCCCATTCAACTTACCCCTGCTCCTGCCTCTGCGGCACTGTCCCTCACCTCAGGGACCTTGATCTACCTCCCACCCCTTCCCTCCCCACAGACTGACCGGGTGAGCTGGGGCACGTGCGTGCAGACACATGGGCGCTCAGCCCCCCACCCCAGCCTCGGATTGACTCCAAGAGCCTCCGAGATCAACCGGTGGATCAAGATCCACAGGTTGGTGACCACTGCCCTAATACCTCAGGCATCAAGAGCTTCATACTGGTGTGCCTGTGGAGGGGGAAAAAGTTCTCTGCAAACTATATCCATGACACGTGTTCTCTCTCGCTCTCATTCGCCTGTTTCCATCTTTGTGTTTTCTTATTCCCTTGCTTTTTCACCCAGTGCCTATGGTTGCCAGTTGTGTCCACAGTGAGAAAGGCTACTATCTTTGTTCTCTCTCTCTCCTCTAATTTGCTGTATCATTTCTGGTATAATTACACTCCCTGCACTGGCAAGAAGCAAGCTACCATGCCTGGAAGCCCCTTCAGTTGAGGGGCTGCCAGTCACAGGGGCACTCCATACACCCTTGGAGCTGAGGGATTGTGGCTACCATAATCCCCCAGCTCCAGTGGTTTTATGCATTCTTAGGACAGCTGTACTGCCCCAGCTGCCAGGATCCATCTGAAACCGAGCATCCACAACTGCAGGCTCTGGATCCCTGTTCTGCTGGGACCAAGGGTCAGCAGCTGCTGGAGCTGAGAGTCTTCTCAGTTTCAGGCTAGGCAAGGTCCATCCTTGCAGCTGGGACCCGCAGCTGCAGGGAGACCCTACTACATGTGCAAATTAAAGCTCAATAGCAACCAGCTATAAAATTAGTACACATTTTTTAGGTCTAACTTTATAGCTGGTTGGAGCTTTTTATGGCATGATAGCTAATTTGCATGTGCAGTTGGTTTTAAGCTAATTGTGTAATTAGTTAATTGCACGATAATTGTAACAGGTAGGGGGGACCTATGTCATTGATTTAGTACAGTCCCTTCTTGGGTAGTTTTTAGCCACTTGGAAATGGGGAAGAAAACTTCTAATTATGCTTGATTTTTGGCCTTCAGGCTCCTCCAGGAAAGGTGGCAGAGGCAGTGAAGTTTGCTATTGATGTTGGATACCGCCACTTCGACTGTGCTTACTTGTACAAGAATGAGAGTGAGATCGGGGATGGGATCCAGCAAAAAATCAAGGAAGGAGCTGTGAAACGGGAAGACCTTTTTATTGTCAGTAAGGTGAGCCTCTGACTGTCACTTAGATTCACTAAAGGACACATATTCCATGTCACCTGTAGACTCCTCTGAATTTGCCCCCAAAAGGGCTCAGATACTCAGACATTTATACTACCATGAAGGCTAATGAAACCAATGTAAACAAGGAACTAGTAGCATAATGAAACAGGGCAGTGAAGAAAACAGAAGTGGCTGTACTGCCAAACCAGCAGCCCACTTGGCATAAAGCACAGCCAGTGATGCTGCCATATGCAATGCTGCCTCCCAGGGCAGTCAGGCATCACTTTATATCTCTGCAAGGAGCAGAGGGATGACATAAACTGTTGCACAATTTACCTGAATCTGATTTGGAATTATCTCAGGAAAAGTTGGGGTAAAATTATGCCAGTACATTTTACACTGGTGTAAGCATTGCAGATGCATGGCATACCCACAGCACGTGATGTACTGAAGTTAGCTGCTTGCAGTAGGCAAACTGGGGCATTTTTATACATGCTCCAGGAGTGGAGCGGGGTGGGGACTTTAATTAGACTGGCTCCAAGAGCTAATTAAAGTGCCCTCAGTGTCTTGTGTATCTGTCCCCACACTTCAAAACGGCAGTGGGGGAGCTTTAAAACTTGTTCAATGAACCATTTTGAAGCATGGGGACACTGATACAGAAGACGCAGAAGCTTCTGGAGCATGCTAATTGGCACACTCCAGTAGACTTGATTAATCAAGCAGATTAATTGAGTCTGCTGTGACACTCCTCCCCACACATCTACAGGCACCCCATAGCATTTGTGATGTGTGAGCATGCGGAGATTAGCCGTGCACCTCCTGGAAACACCAGCCGCAAAACCAGAAGTGCCAGCCACTGGTGATTTCGGGCTTGGCCACAGGGGGACCCCCTCACCTCCGGTGGGCAGTCAGCCGCTGGGGGAACCTCTCCTCCCAGTCACTGATCTGGTGCCCCTCCCATACTCAGGAGGCATCAGTCGCCCATGCCCCATAGTATTACCTTGTCTGTACCACTGAATGGCAGAGTGCTGTGTTGTCATCACCCACTGACTTCCAGGGTCATCTCTCAGCTTCAGCTCTTAGTACAATTTACATTGCTATACAGAATGAGTGTAAATGTGGTGTGTCTCTAGTCTTTCTTAAACTCTTCAGCAGGATTATGGCAATGCTGCCAGTTGCTTTCTGTGGGAAATTTTCTACTTGTATCAAAACAAAAAAATCAGTTTTTTTTCCAATAAAAATTACTGGGTTTTCTAGGTGCCTCAGTAATTCCAACAAACTAAGGAAAGCTAAAATGGGATACTGCATCTTGATAACTTTTTATAACATATTAAAATACCAAAAAAAGTCCGCATTTATTTTTTCATTGAAAAACTGGGACATTTTTACCACCACTAAACATTTGCATTACTTCTCTTTGACAGCCTCCCCCCTCAGCACCCAGCCCTCAAGTAGTCACTCATCAATGTAATGTTTCATTACAAATTACAACCAAATCTAGCTTTCACTTCATGGCAATATATGGATTTGTGGGGAGGAGTTTATCAGAGCTGCCAAATGAAAGCTGAAAATGACCTTCGTCTTCTGAGGCTTTGAACTTGGTTAAACTATAAAATCAATATTAAAAAGCTTTTTCTCAAATGTTGAAATAGTTGCATAGTTTTTTTTCCAGCTCTCAGTATTACACAGATGGTGGGAAGCTATATTCTGTTCTCTCAGTTCCTTATTATAAATGTGAAGTCTGATCACTTTGCACCAATGCTGTTTTCAAATTTGCGCTATACAGCTTAAATCTGACACCAAAATTTTAGGGTGTTTATAGGTCTTTGATATGAGCTAAATAAGTGGAAGGTATATGAGACATGCTACTGTCCTACTGTAGAGATTCTAGACGTTTCAGAGTAACTATTATACTCATGTTTCCCACTGTAGCTGTGGTGCACATTTCATGAGAGATCTCTGGTCAAGGGAGCATGCCAGAAAACCCTTGCTGACCTGAAACTGGATTACCTGGACCTCTACCTTATCCACTTTCCTATGGGTTTCAAGGTAGTGTGACTCCTTGTTCTTTTTCCTCCTCCCTGACCTGACAGAATCCTAGAGTGCTCTTTCCTCACCACCCTGCAGTCAGTCAAGGAGGGATTGGCCTCCCTTTTGAAATGTATCTGGTTTTATTTGCTTATGTCTTTTCTGCAACAAAAATATGAAGTCACTTCTATTTTCTTCTTCCCCCTGGCAGAGGAAGAGTTAAGGCTGAGTTTACAGTAGTGTGAACATAGGTTTGGAGTAGGGCCTTCCACATGTAGACCTGTTCAGCTGGAGAGAATTGCATTGTTAATGGAAATCCTGAGTGTTCCTCAGGAAAGTACAATTGTGTATCATATTTAATAGGTTGTGAGCTTTATAAGGTGGAATAATGTTGTGTCTCTTCCACTTGTGGTGGCCCTGGCCCTTCTTAGGCTGAGTATCAACAGAAAATGAAGAAGTAGCAGAGTGAGCTGTATTTATTCACTGGAATAAAAATCTGTCTTAAAGAATGGGGGATTTCTTCCTCCGTCCTTCTGTCTCTCTTGATTTATTAAATAGTTACCTGATCAGAGGTTACTAGTTCTCATCTCCTTGCCACAGATCACGTCACCATATGCACTGTGTTCCCAGTTCAACAAGGTACTCAAGTTTGTGTATAACTCTTAAGAACATGAGTGCTACCATTGATCCAGCATAATGTATGTACCTAAGTACTGTGTTGAGCTGGATTCTGTGAATACTGTCACTGTCAACCTTGTCCTAGAATTTGGCTTTCTAACTCGGAATGTTCAGCTCTGAAAGCAAATCTCTCTTCTGATCTGAAATTCCAGGCTGGTGAGGAGAATCATCCAAAGGATGACAAAGGTATGGTTATCCCCAGTAACACAGATATTCTGGACACATGGGAGGTAGGTTAATATTCACTCAATTTTTCTGAGTCAGAATTAAACACTGAATAGAAATCTGTATGCAAGGGCAAATTAAGACTATGCCAGGCTGTACTTTGGAGGGGGGTCTACACATTCACTCCTTTGTGCTTCCAGTAGCTTCCTCCCCTTGTTTTTTGTTTGTTTTTCTTTTTTGAAGCAACAAACTCACAAAAGCTACCACTGAGCCAGGTTCTTATTCCATGGTCTATCTGGCAGACAGGTTAGCCTGGCCCTGGCAGCATACCTCTAATTGGAATGACACTCCCTTAAGCTTCCAGCCTCCTGCCCATTCAGGTACAGGGAACTGTTGTATACAATAAGGGGCTTCACACAGGGATTTTCCATTACCAGGAATTCAGGGTCTCTACCTGTCCTGCATATTCCTTTTGAATGGCATGACTCCAGGTCTGCTGCTGCCACCTCAGCTCAGACGACGTGGAGTAATGGAGTGGTTTTGTATAACACAGTTCCTTTTTTCCAGCTGCTTTGGTAGCACCACTTGACTGGCCCCCTAAGGCAGTGGGTACATACTTTTCCAGCTCAGATCACAGCTGGAGCTGCAGACCCAGAAGCAAATGCCTGTTGCAGTCTAGCCTCTGAAGAGCTCAGAGCTCCTAGCCAGTGAGCCTTATAGATGAAAGATAAGTTAGCAGAGTGTAAGAGAAGCATCAGGTTAACAGAGTTGTGAAGTTCATATTGGGTGTGACGTACAATACATTTTATTGTTTTAGGAATGTGGGTAGGACAGGAAGGGAGTGATTACTGGGGTCCAAGCTAGAGACACGAGCTACCCGCCTGCAGTCTGGGAACTCTTTTTCCACACAATAATAAGTTACAACTCAGAGTGGGAGTAAAAGGATGTGGGGTCAGTAACCGACAAAGTCTGGGTTCCTCATCTCTGTTTTGTTATATCAGAAACTACCTGAAAGACTTATCAAACTGTAATTTCCTCTGCTTCTATAAACTGAGCCAAAAACTGCTTCATATATGAAAACTTTCTCTTAGAGAGATGTCTACCATTCAGAAGGTGGGTTGAACTTTTCTGCCCACATCACTTTCTCCACATGGACTCTTGGTAACTGGACATGCTTGGAGCATGCACTAACTCAGCTACAAAGACTCTAAGTAAGAAGGGATAATTGGCTCATGTGGCTTGATTTCCAACAGTTTATTCTGCCTTAATAAAAAGAAAAAAAGCCAAACTGGTAATAACACCACCAGATAGATGATGGCATTGTCTTGATCCATTAGGCTATGGAAGAGCTGGTGGATGCAGGTCTGGTGAAAACCATTGGGATCTCCAACTTCAACCATGAACAGATTGAAAGAATCTTGAACAAGCCTGGGTTAAAATATAAGCCTGTAAATAACCAGGTAAGATGCTAATTTCCACTGATCTCTGCTGAATATGCATCTACTGGCTGAGCTACACATTTGTACTGAATTACCAAAAGGCTTTTGGGACACAAGAAAGCAGTGATGTGTGAGGAGCAATATAGTAAACTGAGAACTATTTGTGAGATTGGTCAGTTGAGTAGATGCACCTTGGCACCTCTCATGTACTTTGTACTGCTTGTGTGGTATGCACTGACACAATATACTTCATAGCAGTATGTATAGATGTATAGTAGATACTTTCACACCCTCCTGGATACCTAAACCAAAGAGTTCCATAACACTACTAAATAAGATGCATACAGTTCAGCTTACAAGCTGTTTTTGCCTTCTTTCTTGTATGCTGTTTTCATTATGCCAGACTTGTAGCCCTGGAGATCTCTGAATCCTGAAAATCCCTTTTCATAAAGTGCTCACAGCTTCATTAAATGATTCTCGTACTTTGAAACTGTTGTAACCTCCATGTTGTGTGACAATTAGATTACTGGTTGATGAATTGATTGGTTCCCATGTCTGATATATAGGCTTTTCCTTTGTACCTTTTGTTGGATAGACTGGAGACCCTGTGGTACTGACCCTATCTTGCTAAGGCTTCAGCAAAACCTTCGTTCAACAAGGCCTCAGCTTCTATCAAGCCTCCTTCCCTGTCCGTTTTCTTAATTTAACAAAGTTTCTGCTTCTAACTAAGTGCCCCCCTTCCCTTCCTTTTTTCTTCCTGGAAGATAATATCAGGCTCAGTTGGGCTGCCAAAAATATGAGTCAGGAGTCTTAAGACCCTTGCAGATTGCACCTGGAAGATAAGTCAAGTGACAGGAAGATAAGGAGGTTTGAGGGGAGGTTCAACAATAAGGAGCAACCAACTGGTACACATACCAAAGTAGTGACATTTGCATGGGTACCTGTCTGGCAAAAAATCCTGCAGTTAGGATGGAAGAATCTCATTCACTGCTACAGCCTGGGAACTGACTGGCTAAGCACCAGCTCTTCATAAAAGTACCCGGGGATTACAGTGGACAATAAGCTGGATATAAGTCAGTAGTGTGCCCTTGTTGCCAAAAAGGCTAACAACATACTGGGCTGCATTAGTAGAAGCGTTACGAGCAGATCGAGGTAAGTAATTATTCCAGTCTATTCTGCACTAGTCAGGCCACATCTGGAGTACTATGTCCAGTTTTGGGCCCCTCACTATAGAAAGGATGTGGACAAGCTGGAGAGAGTCCAGCAGAGAGTAGTGAAAATGGTTCAAGGGCTGGGGCAAAAGACTTAGGAGGAGAGGCTGAGAGAACTGGGCTTATTTAGTCTGCAGAAGAGAAAACTAAGGGGATTTGATAGCAAGCAGCCTTTAACTAACTGAAGGGTGGTTCCAAAGAGGATGGAGCTAGACTCTTCTCAGTGGTGACAGATGACAGAACACAGAGCAATGGTTTCAAGTTGCAGCAAGGGAGGTTTAGGTTGGATATTAGGAAAAATTTTCTCACTAGGAGGGTGATGAAGCACTGGAACAGGTTACCCAGAGAGGTGGTGGAATCTCCGTCCTTGGAGGTTTTTAAGGCCCAGCTTGACAAAGCCTTGGCTGGAATGATCTAGTTCGGGATGGTCCTGATTTGAGCAGGGGGTTGGACTAGATGACTGCCTAAGGTCCCTTCCAAGCCTAATTTTCTATGATTTTAATATAACTCTTTTAAGGCACCAAACCTTTAAAGCTGCAAACAGATGTTGCCTTTTTGCTGCAATAAAACAAATTGTGGTGACGCAAAGGACATTTATTCCTAGTAGCACAGTTTTCCCACTCTGTCAGCTGGTTTGTCTTTGTTCTTGCAGATTGAATGTCATCCATATCTCACCCAGGAAAAGCTGATTAAGTATTGTCAATCCAAAGGAATCGCTGTGACTGCATACAGTCCCCTTGGCTCCCCTAGTAGACCATGGTAAGAGTATTTGTGGCCTTTCTCTGCTTGGAGGGGTAGGGTGTGTGTATGTGTGTGACTTGACTGTTCTGAGAGAAATTTTATGAACAATGAGATCCATGATGGATGGTGCCTTTCCATGCTTAATATACTAGGCCTTTGTTACCCTTTTCCTCTTTATAGGGCCAAACCAGAGGACCCTACTCTTTTGGAAGATCCCAAGATTAAAGAGATTGCAGTTAAACACAACAAAACTTCTTCTCAGGTCTGATGGGGTCACCTTGCTTCTTTTTAATTGTCTTGCAGGAACATTCACTTCGCTTCATTAACAGGGAGACTTGTTAGAAATGTTGTTGTCTTTTTTTTTTTTTTTTTTAATCGCTTTCAAAAGAGAGGGATAATCAGGGAGCAAGTAATTGCATCTAGAAAGAAGAAAGACCTCCCAGGTCTTTATCATATGCTGCTAATGACTAGCTTTAAAGATGGAAGACCAAGCACATGCCCAGCAATACTGAATTGTTATGATGAACTCTAGCAATTAAATGAGACTATGGAAAATTTGAACGCTGAGTATTCAGCCTTCCTAACCCAGCATCCTACCAAACTCATCATGAAGGCCTTGTTTCTTCAACATTGATTGAGGCTGGTTGTTTTTTCTTAGTTTTCTAGTGTGCATTGTTGAAAATTGCTTACAGCTGCTGTGTGGCAATGTTTGTACCTCTTCATGGAATTTTACTCAGAGGAATGTTTCAGGAATAGTAATTCCAGACATCCTTCCAGACAAATACAATCCAAGCAGAGTGGATTGAAAAGTGGTACATCTTTGCCAAAAAACAATCCTGAAAAATTGGTCTCATCTCCTCCCTCCTCCTCCATTTCTCACTGTCCAACATGCACGCAGGCTTTTTTTGTTTGAAGATTTTCAAATGTTTTGACCAGCTCCAAATGGGAATATTTACTGGATATTATGTTAAGGCCATCATGATTATATAAGCTTAACTCCTGCATAACATAAATCAGAAGTTTCACTCAGTGTTCAAAAGAAAAACTATCTAGTTGGCATAGAAAATGGTGACATATCAAAATAGTAAATAGTAAATGTGTTTACAAACTGTGTACTTCACCTACTGGATGGAATGTGTTGCTCAGACTATTAAGTAGATCCTTCTGAACAACAAACTTGTTTTCTGCAACCATGATTGGTGTATTTGAATGTAAAACATGGTAAATGCCCTGAAAAATGTGTTAAGAACAGCAAACCCTGTAATGACTGATATAGCTTCTGTGTCAGCAGCATTCTGGGTCTTTGTTCACAGGTTTTGATCCGATTTCACATTCAGAGGAATGTGGCTGTCATTCCAAAGTCGGACAAACCACATCGTATTGAGGAGAACTTCAAGGTAACATTTGAAATTGGAATGTTACATGTCCATACACTCTCATTATTCCAAAGTCTGCATTAGAGGGAAGGGAAGGGGGATGGGAACAGTACTGCATATATAGCTGCATATGAAAATAAGTTTGTATACCTTTATTTCCTAAATTGCAACTAAGAGAAAACCAAATTAACATCAACACACCTCCTACCATGTTTCCTAGCTTCTTGATAGCCAAGACAATTCTGCCCCTGTGCAGCTAGCATTAAATTAATATATGATGAGACTTAAAATCAGAAGGGGCAGTCTGGATGAAAAAATGACCATGTAGAAAGGAGATGAATAAGGCCTCTTAGAGCAATAGATGATGATGATGATGATGATGATTCCATACAGAAAAGGCCAGTTATAGCTCTTTGGTCATGATGTAAGAACAAGTTAAGACAGTTCTTCCACAGAGCACAAATTAATACATGGCGCTTGCTGCCACAAGATTATCATTGTCACCAAGGCCCAAATCCAACACTTCTTTTAAAGGATTTAAGTTGAATGTACCTGGCTAATGAGTTGCTTAAGGGGGATATTTCTGACCATTTACATTGAAGTTGAGATTCTACTCTTTAAAGCAGGTGCATAACTCTGTTGTAGTTGCAGAGAAAAAAACCCCATGGGGAATGGCAGAGAGGAGGCCGACTCTCTCAACTTTAAGACAAATAGCCTCATGATTAGGATATTTGCCTAAAGATTGGAAGGTCCAGGTTCTAGACCACTCTTCTTCAGAGCTGGTTTGAACCTGAATCTCCTCTTTCCTGCCAGAGTGCCCTAACAGCTGGGTCTGCTGTGGAAACTGAACTGCTGGGCAGTCCAGAGGGGAAAAGATGTGTGGGGCTACAAGGAAGGTAAGGTTGAAGGAGCTTTCCTCTGTAGTTCAGGGAAGTGAATGTTCCTCTGGAAGGTTCCTGGCCTGAGCCTCACAGGCAAGCTTTCTTCCATCTGCCCCACTGAATTGGCATCTCTTCCCCTCTTGGCTGCCCAGTGGCCCAGCTTCAGAAGCAGATGCACCTCTTGCTCTACCTAGATGCTGGCCCCATCTAAAGCAGACCTAGATGCCCAAAGACAAAAATATTTGCATAACATTAAGAAGCATTGCAGTTTGATTGTGAATCCTCCTTTTTCCTCATATGCGGACCTACCTCCAGTAGGACTCTTGCTAACATAAACAGGATGATGGGAGAATGATCACACAAGCAGCCCTCATTGCCATATAGAATTACTTGCTAGAAACCATTGCATGTACTCAAGGAATTTGGAGGCTCGTGTGCCCTTAGAATATAAGGTGTCTGCTTTGCAGTTTGCTTCTTACAGAAGTTACCAGAATTCATTTGAGGTTTATTCTCTGCCAAAGAAACACAGGAGTATAAAACACAGTATTCTCTGAAGAGTTTCTGGACTTTATGTGAGAAGAAACAGATGATAAATGCCTCTGTCTTGCAGATATCTTAGTGCCAGGTATTCTATCCAACTAAGTATTTAAATAGCTTTGTTGTTGAGGGCGGTTACTCCCTTACTTTATGTTAGGCGCACTCAGCAAATAAAAACTAAGTGAATGGGATGCTCTGTTTTTCAGGTGTTTGACTTTGAACTGACTCAAGAGGAGATGGAATCAATCCTCAGCTTCAACAGGAACTGGAGAGTTGTTACTGTGCTCCCGTAGGTGTTGCCTTCTTACCCTATAAAACAGTAAAACTGTTAGTTATGCACTGCTGCTGCTTGTAGCTGCATGCAGTTTCTGAGCAGGTAAAGTTTTACATTTCCGAAATTGAGTAGGAAGATAAATTGTTGGACTAATGAAGTTAAGCAGGAAATGAGCCTTTACAGATCATCTGTTTAGGCGGTATTGGACTTTTTGGCTCGATGTCCTAACTAATAACTATGTCAGTGAGGTGTCCTTTAAGCCAAGTTTTGTATCATGGAGTGGGAGGAGTGAGGCCAGAAATCCTTTTGAGACCAAATCCAATTCCTTGCATATGTGGCATTTAGGGCCATGTTAATCATGCCTGCCTTGTTCTAGCCTGCTTATCTTAAGCATGTGCAGATGGACTCGGCTGTAGCTCCTTATAATAGCCCCTTATATTCTATTCCTCTTCAGTTCCTGGGGAAATGTGCAAGCCCCTGAACATTAACTGCAAAAAAAAAGAGAAAAGATTCCATAAGTAAATACTATCACAGCTAAGCTATTGGCCTTCAAAGGTGGAAGGGGTACAGGGCCCTTTTCCTCTGCCTAACAGTCATTAGTTGTTTCTTTTTTAGTTGTTTCTAGGTCATAGATCCCTACCCAAGGGGGAGCTAGATTGGCCCTACTGGTTGCGTCTATATGATGACGCTGACTGCACAGTCATTTAGTAGTTGTATAAACGAGTACTAAATGATTGTGCAGTAGCATCGCTAAATGGCTTTTAGGTGACACTGACTGCACAGTTGCTCGTTACTACTGCACAGTAGCATTGCATCACACTTCCTGCCATGCGATGCTACTATGCAGTAGTAACAAGCTACTGCACAGTCAGCGTCTTGTGTAGATGCACCCAGTGTCTACAGTCAGGAGTTGCTTAACATTTGCTTATGCACTATTCAAACCCTGCTAAGAGATGCATATATTCAAATACTCAGAATAACCTCTCTGCTCTCGCTCTCTCCTTAGGGCTGTCAATCACAAGGACTACCCATTCAAAGCAGATTACTGAAGCTGGTATTTCTTCCATGTCTGGCTACTACAAAGTGAAAGACTCTCCTTTTCTGTAGCTCTTTTTTTCTTCTGCCTATTGTGGTATTTTTTAAACAAACTTAGATACTTGACAGAAGAAATGTTTTGTTTTTAGGGGCGGGTTGTTTTTTTTCAGGAGTGAGGAGGGGGAGCGGTGTTGAAAATGCAGTTCAACAGAATGCATCCAAAGGGGCTAGAGGTTCCTATTGCTGAGCTGGTTAGCAGGAATAATTTCTAAGCTAACACTAAATAACATCATTTCTTTCTTTTTCATTTCATTTATTTATCTGTTTGTGTGGCCAAGTTGAAGCGGAACTGTATAATTAAGGTCACTAGTTATTTGGAGGAGTAAAGGAGAGAGGTACCAACATACACTGCCCAAGTGTCAATATACATTGTATTAACTTCATAACTCTGGATGCAGTTGTGAGTGCTCTATCAAGTAATTACAGTGTGAATCTCTAATGTATCTGAGTCCTTAAACAATTCAGAATACAAGTATTTGAATAATTACTGTACAGTTCAGTGCATTAAACACAGTGCTTCAGTTGTTTTGTGGAGCCTGTTCTTGACTTGTTCTTTTGTATACATTCAAGCCAAAGTAAATTTGTACTCATGTTTCCTAGGGGCAGAGAAAATGGATTCTTATCTTTAATTTCTATGGCAAAAGGGCAGGGGTATGTGTGAGAGAGAGCATGCATGTGTGTACGCATGCTTGTGCATTTTTTTTCAGCTTGTACTTTCCACCTTGAGCATCAGATTCTACCAATTGAAACAAAAATCCATGGAGGTAAAGGGTAGGAGACTGATGTCTTCATCAGTGACTTGGACAAGGGAGTGAAGTGTACTCTGTCCAAGTCTGCGGATGACACAAAACTGTGGGGAGAAGTGGACACACCAGAGGGCGGGGAACAACTACAGGCAGACCTGGACAGGTTGGACAAATGGGCAGAAAACAATAAAATGCAATTTAACAAGGAGAAATGCAAAGTGCTGCACTTAGGGAGGAAAAATGTCCAGCACACCTACTGCCTAGGAAATTACCGGCAAGGGATCTTGGAGTCCTAGTGGACTCCAAGATGAACATGAGTCATCAGTGCGACGAAGTCATCAGCAAAGCTAACTGTGCGTTATCATGCATCAGCAGATGCATGGCAAACAGAACCAAGGAGGTGATACTTCCCCTCTATCAGGTGCTGGTCAGACCGCAGTTGGAATACTCCATCCAGTTTTGGGCAGCACACTTTAAGAGGGATGTGGATAACCTGGACAGGGTCCAGAGAAGGGCCACTCATATGGTGAAGGGCTTGCAGGCCAAGCCCTACGAGGAGAGACTAGGGCCCCTGGACCTCTTCAGCCTCTGCAAGAGAAGGTTGAGAGGCGACCTTGTGGCTGCCTATAAATTCATCATGGGGGCAGAGGGGAATTGGTGAGGCTCTACTCACCAAGGCACCCCTGAGGGTTACAAGAAATAATGGCCATAAGCTAGCAGAGAGCAGATTCAGACAGGACATTAGGAAGAGCAGATTTAGACATGACATTAGGAAGACCTTCTTCACAATTAGAGTGGCCAAAACTTGGAATGGGCTCCCAAGGGAGGTGGTGCTCTCCCCTACCCTGGGGGTCTTCAAGAGGAGGTTAGATGAGCATCTGGCTGGGGTCATCTGAACCCAGCACTCTTTTCTGCCTATGCAGGGGGTCGGACTCGATCTGTTGATGTCCCTTCCGACCCTAACATCTATAATTTATGCATGATGTGACAGGAATTGTAGGTTGTATTGCCTTACTGAGATGAGCAAAGTATATATGGGTAGAGACAGGCACTCACCCCTAGTGATGAACCCATGCATTCACCTGGGTATCTGCATACCTAGTCTTTATGAAAAAATAAGACTGAATTTGTTTTGGTAGTATTAGGCAGAAAGTGGGATTGTCGTTACACAACTTGGAATCATTGGTCAAAACAGCCTTTGAAATAAGCCCTGGATCTACAAAAAGTAAACAGGACCAAGAACCTCATGTCCAAAAAATTACTAGAGCAGGGGCAGGCAAAATACAGTCAAGTAATTTCATCCAGCCTGTGGGTGGGTGCTCACCAATTAATTGTATCCTGCCTGCCCCACAGCTGCCTCTGGTGCACTCACATGAGGCTTGGGCCTTGCCCACTCCTGCTGGGGCAGCGCACTACATTTCCAACCTCATGTGGGGGAGAGCCTGGCCCTGGCTCCACCCACGCACAGCTTCTGAGCAGACCTGTTGTTGCCGCTCCTGAGGGAACTGCTCAGCTCCCCTGACGCCTCCTTGTGTCTCTGCTGCAGCGCTCCTGGTAGCAGGTAGGGAAGTGCTGGGGTGTGGGGAGAAGCTGCACCTGGGTGGAAGCATGGAGCCCAAGACCTGTTGTGCCCAGCAAGGCAGTGGGAGTGTGGAGCCTGGTTGGGCTCGGTTCCATTGCATGGGGGTCACATGCAGCTCCCAAGACTTGCTTGCCACTGGGGGAAGCCCTATGCCATGCAGCCAGCGGCCTTTGCCACTCTCTGCTGTCATGTGAAGATCCCGGGACTCTGTGGGGAGCCCTGCACGATGCAGCCAGGCTAGCTCAGCCCTGCTCCCTGCTTCTCAGGTGGAATCCTGGGATCTGCACGTGGTGGCAGGGAGCAGGGCCAGGCCTGGCTTCATCATGCGGGGCTCCCCTCTTGTGGCACACAGCTCTGTCCAGGTCCCAGGAGCTGTATGTGAGATGGGGGAAGCCCTGCATGATGGAGAGGGAGCAGCCGGGCCCTGCTCCCTGCTGCCACACGCAGCTCTTGGAAGAGTCTGAAGCTGTGCGCCACTGGGGGACTCCACCTGTGTAGACCATAAGTGCCCTGAGGGCCTGCCACTTGCTGTTGCTACTGCAGGTGGCAGGGGATGTGCACCATGGGGGTGGCATGTGGGGGAGCCACACACCCCTGCACACCATCCCACATGCCCACAACTACACCACCCCACACACATACCCACACCCCTCCACAAACTCCACACCCACACACATACACACCCCACTACACACAACCCCTCTCCCCCACACACTGTACAACAGTAAGACTTTATTTTTCAGGTACTGTGCAATCACCTCTATATGTGCCATGCAAACACATGTAAATCAAGACAAAAATATTTTCTGAAATAAAATTAAAATATGTTATAGCAGGTTTGATTTTTTAGCATAAGATTTGTTTTGTCTCTGGTTCCAAAATGGCACCACTCCTTTCCTCCCCACTCCCAAAAGAAGTACTTCTGGGGGCAAGGGGGAGTGACTTCTGGTGGCAAAGGTCCCAATATGGTGACCAGGGGGCAGGGCACCCATCAAGGCACAGGGCCACCCTTGCACCCCTCAACAGCTCACCAAAAGTGATTAAGTGGCCCTCTAGCTGAAATAATTGCCCACCCCTGTACTATAGTGACATATAGTCAGCTAAATGATTTAAAATTCTTCATATCATAGAAAACTAGGGTTGGAAGGGACCTCAGGAGGTCTCTAGTCCCACCCCTGCTCAAAGTAGGACCATCACCAACTAGATCATCGCAGCCAGGACATTGTCAAGCCAGGCCTTAAAAACCTCCAAGGACGGAGATTCCACCACCTCTCTAGGTAACTTGTTCCAGTGCTTTACTACCCTCCTAATGAGAGTTTTTCCTAATATCCAACCTAAACCTCCCATGCTGCAGCCTTGAGACCATTGTTTTGTCATGTGCAATGAGAATAGTCTAGCTCCATCCTCTTTGAAACCCCCCTTCAGGTAATTAAGAGCTACTATCAAATCCCCTCTCAGTCTTCTCTTCCACAGACTAAATAAACTCAGTTCCCCCAGCCTCTTCTCAGAAGTCATGTGCCCTAGCCCCTGAACCATTTTTTTTGCTCTCCGCTGGGCTCTCTCTCCAATTTGTCCACATCTTTTCTATAGTGGGGGACCCAAAACTAGACACAGTACTCTAGATCTGGTCTCACCAGTGCAGAATAGACTGGAATAATTACTTCCCTCAATCTGCTGGCAAAGCTCCTACTAATTCAGCCCTGTATGCTGTTGGCTTTCTTGGCAACAAGGACACACTGATGACTCATATCCAGCTTATTGTCCACTGTAACCCCCAGATCCTTTTCTGCAGAGCTGCTGCCCAGCCAATCTGTCCCCAGGTTGTAGTTGTGCATGGGATTGCTCAGTCCTAAGTGCAGGACTTGGCACTTGTCCTTGTTGAGCCTCATGAGATTCCTTTTGGTCCAATCCTCCAATTTGTCTTGGCCACTCTGAATCTTAGCCCTACCCCATAGCATATCTACTATTCCCCCCCAGCTTGGTGTCATTTGTGAACTTGATGAGGGTACAATCCATCCCAACTCAGTTTGGCCTAAAATAAGAGAAGCTAAAAATACTAGCATAGTATTGTCTTTCCTAGAATTGACAGTAAACAGTGCCTGTTCTCAGGTTTCAATTAATTTCCAGTTTGAGTGAAAACTAAGCTTCATATCAGTTCTTATTTGCTGTCTGATATATGATGGTGGCAATATCTAATCAAATTCAAGATGAGATTTTTCACCGAATCAACGTAAGGGAATCAAACCCTTCGTCTTATACAAGGAAACTGCATTAAATACATGCTTCATCAGCAGTTCAAAAATAGATCAGCATGTGCTCAATAGTGGAAACCAAATATGAAGCTGATTAAAAGCAGACAACATTGTGCATAATTTTTAAGTACATGGCCCATATTGGACAAACAAGGATAGATTAGTACAGCCCATCTGAATAATAAAACACATAGTTTTGCCCACTGAGTGCAGTCTCCCTCAGCACTGACTCGCACACTGAGTTGTGCTGAGCTGCAGGATCACCATGGCTTGAAATGCTGTTGACTGCTGGGGCCCAGCCAACAAGCTATACAATAAATTATGAACCTTTTTGGCTTTGGATTAATATCATGCATAGTATATACTATATACAAGTAAGTACTAAAGTCCTACATAAAAATGTGTTTATGGAGTACCTGTGCTAAATGTTGCAGCAGTTTCAAAAAAGGTAAAATACATCAATTCTGGATGAACTAAGTATGTGGGTAGTCTATAAAAATTACTACAGCTATGTTTATTTCAAGGTCAGTTTTTTTTCAAATATGTTCCTTCCATGTGCTCAGGGAGATCAGGGTCCGATGGTAAGGAAGTGGGGGAAGGGGCTGTAGTGGGAAGAAGTTGAGAAGCAGAGGGCAAAGAGGCTACCTGACCCCCAGATTTATTTTCCCTTCTTTAGCAGAGAGACAGGGCCAAATTCAACACAAATGTCCAATAGTTCGATATAATTTTCTAGGTATGGAATCTAATTTAAAAATTAGATTCTATATATGGAAAACTTATAGGGAGTCCAAGTAAATATAGTATTTAAAATATGAAGCAGTCCAGTGCCTCTGAATCTGCCATTAAATCTCCCTTCAGCTTGCTGTTTCTTGAGGTAGTGCTAGCTACTAGAAACTTCAGTAAGAGGATCGCTGTTAAGCTTTGCCAAGCACATTAGTTAAATTGCAAAAATAACTGAGATTTTAGTGATATTTTTATTGGACCAACTGTATAATTGGGAGACAGGTAAATTTTTGGGTCTAGTGCCCTTCTTCAGGTTTGGTTTTCAAGCCCAAAAACTTGTCTAACATCTCTCCCAACTGTATGGTTTGTCTAATAAAAGATATCACCAAAACAACTTAACTTCTCATATATGTCCTTGGCCATCATGGCTACAACAACACTTCAACCCTACTTAAACTGAAGAGTTGGTCACTTGAAAGAAGAAATGATAAATGCCTTGTGTGCCCTGACAAGGTAAGTTTCTTCTGGAAAAAATATATGATTATATAAAGGCCAACATATGCTCAAAAGGGGTCATATTAAGGTTGCATTAGCATGAACAGTAAAATGAATATTTCAACTTTCCAAATCATGCTGTGTTAAAGGAGTTGTGACTTGCTGGGTGTACTGAAAAAGAAAATACTAAAAATAAGACTGAACATTTATAGTAATCATCTCTTCCTCACAAATTACCAAGGTTTGAACCCTCAACCTTCAGCCCCTGTAGTTTGAGTTACAGGACTGACAAAAACAAGGGTACTTTAGGAAAATGAAGTGCTGCATCCAGAGAAGTGTTTTAGGGAGAACTAGGCCCCTGTCTGTGGGAGGGGTAATGGAGGTAAGGAGGGACAGAGGGATGACTTCTGGCCACTAACCAGTAGCAGCTCCTCCTCCAGACCCTCCAGTGGCCAGCCACTGCTTCATTTTGATGGTTAATTTACAGCTCCCTCCAATTAGTGGCTCTTTAAGCACATCTGCCATTCAGAATCTTCATATACCAGCAAGGTATATGTCTGGTGCCAATCTGTTTCCTTTCCACCTGGCTTTCTAGATACCGACTATTTCTAAGGTGGCGCTTTTATTCATAGATGCTAGGGTTGGAAGGGACCTCAATAGATCATCGAGTCCGACCCCCTGCAGAGGCAGGAAAGAGTGCTGGGGCTAGATGACCCCAGCTAGATGGTTATATAACCTCCTCTTGAAGACCCCCAGGGTAGGGGAGAGCACCACCTCCCTTGGGAGCCCGTTCCAGGCCTTGGCCACTCTAACTGTGAAGAAGTTCTTCCTAATGTCTAGTCTAAATCTGCTCTCTGCTAGCTTGTGGCCATTCAGTGAAAGGACTTGATCGAGTCTGCTCTCAGAGCTGCTCTAGTTAAAGTGTCACCCCTGCCACCCACAGACCATGTGTAAAAGTGCCTTAATGTGCCACCCTGCCCTGTCTTCTGCTTGACTTCAGACTAATATGGCTAACTACCCCTCTACTTATTTATTAATTAATTGAAAAATTGCTGTGCTGGCTCTGAGGAGAAACATATCAGTCACAAACTTCACCAAGAAACTCAGAAAGCTAAATCTTAACAGTTCTTTTTCTTTTTTTAAAAAGACAGGTGAGGTTATTTACATATGTGGTCCGTAATTGAGGGCATTATGGAAAAAGTGACTTTTGGAGGGGGGATTTCAAAGTTCCAGCAAACCTGTCATTTGCTAGTTGTGACAGTAAGAGGGAAAGACATAATGTGACGTCAAATGGAATTGAAGAAGAGCCGAAGCATGTCTGAGTAAGAGAAGCAACCTTTCAATCATATACCAGTATGATACAATTTGGGTATTTTGTTGAAGTATTACAACAAAAACTGGCGCATTTAAATAACATTTTCTATAATCCTGCTCCATTTAATCATTCCCAGCAAATTTTATTTCTGAAAGCTGCATTATATCTTCTTAACCTAAGGGTATGTCTACACTGCTCAATGTTGTCTTCAACTATGCTAATGCCATGCTCTGTACCCTGGATTCCCCACACACCATATGGAAAACCTTTGCCATGTGACTTATTAACATTCACCAGCGATCAAGGAATATTGCACACATTAGGCAGCAGACAACCCTGCATAGCATTATGTAGAACATTGCCTTTAGTCCCTTAAGGGGTTAATTCTTCTCCCCAGCCATAATGACATAAAAGACAGAAATCTGCCCCATTCACAAACCCCACCATTACTAGTGTTTCCTTAGGTCAAGTTTCTCTAGGAGAGTACCTGTGCTTTTTTTTTTTACCCAATTTGATGGGACCACCAGACATACTCCAAACTCTACATGGAAGAGCAGTTTTGGGGAGGGAAGGACATCTGTAGCTGGTTCTTTATTTCCCTAAGGCTTCATTATTCTCAACTGCAATCATCCAAGCATTATGGCTTTGAAGATATGCTCCTAATTTTTTTGGCAGGAAGAAGAAATACCACAAGTGCTATACAGAAAATGCTTGTCAAATTAGGTTCACAAAAGACTGCACCAATAAAGCAGAACTTACTGAATTAAACAGGCTGAATTGTAGAACAGAATAAGAGAACCAGTCACCATTACAAAGGCTAAAGCCACATACTAACACTTCCATTGCAAGTACAGGATAGTATATTGGCACCATGACAGACACTATAGGGCATTTATAGACATTACATTTTTGTAGGTTTAATTCAGGCTACAACTGTCACTATATACACACGGACACCTGTAGTCTGAATTAAAATTGGCTCCAATTTGAACTAAATAATCCTTATTGAATGAGAATTAAAGTAATGAAGATTAGGGCAGTCCAAATTAGGCAAGTTAAATTGTATTAAACATGTATATATGATGTTGCTTTTAGAAAAAAACAGTCCTTAGGAATTCAGATAAGCAGATAGGTATTTCAAATATCAATCCACTCAAGAGAAACTCAGTTGGGTTTCTGCAAGTCATATGTACCAACAACACCTCACAGGCTGCGTCCAGACACTCATGTAGAATGTGGCACAGCAGAAACACCTGCGGCACTACATACCGCATATTCAGCTGTTCTCCGAGGTGCAAGGGAGCAGCATCGGTTTAACCCCTGGATATCCAGGGGTCAAAAAAACCTGTGCGCAAATACAAAAAAGCAGAGCAGCATGTGCGAGAGCAACACATGCCACTCAGAACTGGAGCCTGGCCAGCCAGAGCCACGCTACAGCTGCCAGCCAGGCTCTGAGTGGCAGGATCGCCACTGCTGCAGTCTAAGGAGGACCCCAGAACCCCAGGTAAGGCTGCTGGGGCCAGCCCAGTGCAGGCCCCAGGCTCTCTTACCCTACCTGGAGTAACCTGGTGCATGGCACAGGTGTTCCCTGGGGACAACTAGCAGCGGCACAAGGTGTCCCACTGCTTGCTGTCCCCAGGGGAAACAAACGTGCCCGCTTATATGAATGGGCCACAGTGACTAAGTATCAGGTCAATTGCATGGCATTTTAGACAACTGCAACAATGTAGCAGTGGTTACACAGGCTTATTATTGCCTCCTAATTACTTCCCACAGCATAAACTCACACACCTAGGCCAAGAGTTGAGTCTGTTAAGGGGCTGTCAATGATCATCTGTTAAACCTTAATTTGAGTTGAAATTTGATTTGAGCTGTGTGATGTGAATCTGTTAACATGGCTTAGAAAACGCTGAACATGTCTACAAACAGCCTATATTCTTTGAACTTCAGTCTGCAATGCATTCTTTGACATTAGTATTAACATTATTCCAGTTACAAACGGTGCATTCCAAATCATTAAACAGGGAGTGTTAATGGAAATACTCCATTTATTGTGGATGCAGCTTCAGAATACAATGGTTGAACAAATCTTTTTATTGCAGCTATCAAATGTATTTGAAAGATTCAGAGAGTGTGTACAATAACCCAAAACAAAAAGACAATCATAGACAAAGCCAGGCACTCTTTGCACAGTTTCACTCCCTACAGGTAACTAAATGCATCTCTATATGTAAACAAGATGTTTCAGCTAAGCAGAGGAGCTCATCTTTGGACTGAAATACATTTTCCCCTCCTTTAAAAAAAAAAAAAAATCAGATGCTACAAAGATGACATGGTGAAAATGCACAAGAAAGCTCTTATGAATGTGTTTATAGCTACTCTAATTGCCTTGTTTCCTCCACTCATACACTGTCAGATGTAAATGATAAACCTTATGTCACGTAAATTCAAACCAAGCTGACTTCTTATAGCCTTGTGTTTACTATATACAAATAAAGTATTTG